TCGCCGTTCTTGAATCTTAGTGATTTGTTTGTTTTATCTGTCCTTGACTGATCGTTTTGGTTTACCATATTTCCCTGCTAGCTTCTCCATCGTAACACGCAGTTTTCTTATATTTCCTTCTTCTGTCGCTTTTTATGATTCCGTTGCTAGACCTTCCACATATTTCGGCGTGTCAGCTCTAATGCTTCTCTTCACCCACTTGTTTGCTTCTGTGTAGTTGGCTTGTGCCTTGACTTTTTCTGCTCCTGTTTGGTTGTTATTAATTAGTGTTTTATTGTTCTGCCGTTTCTGAATCTTGGCCACGATATTAGTAAACATCTATTCCTAATCCTAGTGCTACCTGCGCCTCAGTACCTCCTGTGTTTGTTCTTTTGAGTTGCTGTACTTAATTTTTTCTCTTTCTCTTAGTAGAATTCATAAAGCTTGAAACTTGTTGATGATAGCCATGTTGAACTCGCGAAGCTTCCTGGCGTCTAGGGGGACGGTTGTATTAAAGTTTAATGGTGATGCTTAATCATTTGTCCTTAGCTTCATTTGTCGCTTGAGTATCACGAGGCATTGGTGTAAAATTATGTGGGTTCTTCTCCTCTTCATTACGTCTTTTATAAGCCTTTTGAGTTTTTTGTTGGTGTGGATGTGATCAATGTGGTTCTCTTTATCGTGACCCGGTGAAATCCATTTCGTTTTATGTATATGTTTGTGGTGGAAAATGTAACTACCTATGATCTTGTTTTTTAAAGTACATGAATTTATCACTTTGTCACCATTCTTGCTTCTTTCTCCAAGTTGATGTCATCCCATGGTGTCTTCATACGCAGTGTTGTCTTTCCCGATAATAATGTTTAGATCTCAGATGAGGTTGGTCAGGTCTGAACATTTCTCTGTGATGGACTATAAGTTCTCATAAAATTGATCTTTATCACCTTTGATGATATCATTGATGGGTGCTTAACAATCTATGATATTGATTTCAATCCATTTTTACTGTGTTTTGAAACATGTTCGGTGATCTTCGGTTCATAAGTTATCCGTCTTACATGCACATTTTGTGTTCATTTGAAGAGCATCAATGCTACTATGTATAGGTGGAAAATTTTCTCTTTGATGACTAGGGCATTACAACAACTCCTAAAGATAGTCTTTCTTTGTTTATATATATTCCCAGAATCTTCTTATTTCCGTCTTGATTTCTATGACCTCTGTCTTTCACATTGTTATAACTTCTGGCCTGTGTGGCCTGTTAATGTATAACGTAATGATACCGCCAATCAGAGAGCAGTGAATTATCGACCGGACCAATGACGCCTAAAACAAGTACAAGCAGTCTAGAGTACTTATCAGTCCTGCTTCCCGCCTAGCCCAGCCAGTTAAGTCCAGAACACTAATCCGAGCCTCTGCGATATGAATAATGTATTTCAAACACGCTGGGTTTATATACTAACCAAACAGATCACATCGTACCATAAAATAGGAAACAACATTTGTACAAGATTTGGCCAAAAGTGGCTGTGAATGTGGGAGGTAGTAATTGATTGACTGTGCACAATTCAAGAATGGTAAATCGTATAATAAGAGTTCATACGTCAAAATAAAGCTTATGATAAGAGTAACACGAATATGAATACTTTGGTTAATTAATAATTATATGATAAAAATATACGTATAGTATTAGTCCAGAAATAGATCCCAACAGTCACCATTCATTATGTTTATCGTGACCTAACACACCTCCCTTTTTTCGAAGATCCGGATTTGAAACTTTCCGGGTTCATCCACCTCCACGAAACAGTCTTGGATCCTCATATTCACAAGTGGCAATTAATTGGAATTTATCTAAAACATATTTGACTCACTGAACAGAGAATCGACTAAAAGTGACTACATGGTGAGGCTGAACGACGCTTGATATGAGGTAATCGAGGTTTAATTCTTCTAAAATAGTGTGACCAAATTTATTGGAAACCTTATTTACAGATAATGGATCAAACACACATCATCTAGATATTTCAATAACCTTTACCAATTTTTGTTTTGTTTTTGTTATCAGAATACATTTTGATCATATCCCTCTCAAAGAATTTTTTCCTTTCATAATATAATGTCATAATCCTTTTACATTAAAGATTCTTCAATACCCTGAGGAGATATTAACGAGATCAATTAATTTATTTCCACTGAAGCTTTTTCCTCGAGTTTCGTCTTTCTTTTTTTACCTTGACTTGCGACTGACAACAATCCTAAGATAAGCAAAGATGGATAGTGGTTAGCAATGGAATCCAGTTTGACACACGCTTCGTCCTTTTTGGGACTCGTCAGCTGGATGTACCTGCATCTCAGAGTTGGTGTTCACTCTGGGACTCGAACCCAGTACCGTCCGCTTCAAACGCCATCGCGTTATCCACTTAGCTATTGAGTCCTGATAGTCACTTGCTTGTGCAATCGGATGAAGTTTAATTCACTTGATATTGTTTTATTTGAATCTTCCCATTAATGTTTAGGACTGCAATTGATCATTCTCTTATTGGCATATGTGCATACTGTGCGTATGCCTCGATATTGCCTTAATTTACTAGCATTATAGCTAAGTGGATAAAGTGTTGGTGTTTAAAGCGAATGGTACTGGGTTCGAGTCACAGAGTGAACATCAACTCTGAGATACAGGTACATTCAGCTGACGAGTCCCAAAAAGGACGAAACGTGTGTCAAACTGGATTTCACTGCTAACCACTATCCATCTTTGCTTATAATGCTTGTCAATTAAGGCAATATCGAGGCAATGCGCACAGTATACACATATGCCAATAAGAGACTAAACAATTTCAGTCCTAAACATCAATGGGAATATTCAAATAAAACAATATCAAATGAATTAATCCTAAGATATTTCAATAATGTAATAAGAAGACGAAGATTATCAGAACTATTTGATATATTAGTGCAATACATTTCGAACAATGTGATCACACATATACTTGTTAAGAGCATTTATATATAAAAATAAAAGGTCAACTAGACTGAAAATGGGGTAAGAGGAGATAAGGATAATAATAATAATAATAATAATAATAATAATAATAATAATAATAATAATAAGAGTAATGATAATAATCTGAACACAATTCAAAACCTGATCACTATGGATAATAAGTCCATATTACCAGGGTAGGTTTAAGGTAAGAACAAACTGGGTTTTTTTTGGAATACACAAAGGGGATTTGAATTTTCGTATGGTTAAGGCTTCAATAAACCTTAGTATACGCCCTTTCACACTTTTATACAATACCACAAAAGCCGAGTTTAAATCAATCTTATGCCCTGTTTCAATTATATGTTTAGCAATAGAGGATGATGAACAGGTACCAAAAGACTGGAAAGAAGGACTTCTAGTCAAAATACCAAAGAAAGGCGATCTCAGCAACTGTGACAACTACAGGGGAATCACTCTTCTTTCAATACCAGGAAAAGTCTTCAACAGGGTATTGTTAAACAGGATGAAGGACTCCGTAGACGCCCAACTTCGAGACCAACAGGCAGGATTCCGTAAGGATAGATCGTGCACAGACCAAATCGCAACTCTACGGATCATTGTGGAACAATCAATTGAATGGAATTCATCACTCTATATCAACTTCATCGACTACGAAAAAGCATTTGATAGCGTGGACAGAACAACCCTATGGAAGCTTCTTCGACACTACGGCGTGCCTCAGAAGATAGTCAATATCATACAGAATTCCTATGATGGATTAAACTGCAAGATCGTTCATGGAGGACAGTTGACAAAGTCGTTCGAAGTAAAGACCGGTGTCAGGCAAGGTTGCTTACTCTCACCCTTTCTCTTTCTCCTAGTGATCGACTGGATCATGTAGACATCAACATCTGAAGGGAAGCACGGGATACAGTGGATAGCTAGGATGCAGCTGAACGATCTAGAGTTCGCAGATGATCTGGCTCTTCTATCGCATACGCAACAACAAATGCAGGAGAAGACAACCAGTGTAGCTGCAGCCTCAGCAGCAATAGGTCTCAATATACACAATGGGAAAAGCAAGATTCTTCGATACAACACAGCATGTACCAATCCAATCACAATTGACGGAGAAGCTTTGGAAGATGTAAAAACCTTTACATATTTGGGCAGTATCATCGATGAACACGGTGGATCTGATGCAGATGTGAAGGCACGGATTGGCAAAGCAAGAGCAGCATATTTACAACTGAAGAATATCTGGAACTCAAAACAATTAGCAACCAACACCAAAGTCAGAATTTTCAATACAAATGTCAAAACAGTTCTACTGTATGGGGCGGAAACGTAGAAAACTACGAAATCCATCGTCCAAAAGATACAGGTGTTTATTAACAGTTGTCTACGCAAAATACTTCAGATCCGCTGGCCGGACACTATAAGCAACAACCTACTGTGGGAGAGAACAAATCACATCCCAGTGGAGGAAGAAATCAGGAAGAAGCGCTGGAAGTGGATAGGACACACATTGGGGAAAACACCCAACTGCGTCACAAGACAAGCCCTCATATGGAATCCTCAAGGTCGAGGGAGGAGAGGAAGACCAAAGAACACATTACGCCGGGAAATGGAGATAGATATGAGAAAAATGAACAAGAATTGGATGGAACTTGAAAAGAAGGCCCAGGACAGAGTGGGTTGGAGAATGCTGGTCGGCGGCCTATGCTCCATTGGGAGTAACAGGCGTAAGTAAGTAAGTAAGTAATAGAGGATGATGAATGTTTATCCTTTACTCTTATTAGGTCATTTGATTGTATTTATTTCTGCAGGCATTTGGGTATATGTTCACTCATCCTAATGTTAAGATACTTCAATGGACAAGTTTTAAATACAACAAAAATGGGCCCCCTTAAAAAACTTTATTACCACCTAAAATTCAAAGTATAACAATTCGGTTTTATTTCTTTCAATTAGTTTCTATGGCAATTTTCTAAAGAATCTTTTTTCTTTTTTTTTTTTTTGTTTATATTAGATTAAGATATTTACATAATTGTCCTAAATTGAAATTAAGTCATCATTTAATAAAATCTGCACAAATTCATTCAGAATATTTACAAAAATTACGTCAATTACAACAAATTGATAATTTAATATATGGTCAAAATATTGCTTTAATAATTGGTCAACAAAATTATCAAATTGCTGGTAAGTTTGTTTCTTTTGTTTTATTTTCTTTACGGTAAAGTCAATTAAAGATAGATCACCATCATTGGACATTGGTTTTGTCCTAGTATGAGATTTCTCAGTAGTGTGTATCCATGATTCTGCCTTACCCCCACCCCTGAGTGAGCAAGATTCAAATCCAAGATCTATCAGTCTTGCATATGAACGCTTAACTATTAAACTACTGGGCTGATATTCCATTCTAATTATTGAAGAATGTTGAATTTTGATGGTTACCATTATAAACAATCATTTAGTCAGTTAATCAATTAACTAGCTACAATTTAGGATTAGGTACATGCATGTATCGGTTCAAGTGATCATACCTCATTAGTATAACAAGATAAACACCAAATTCATAGATGTAGTCATTTCAATAGCTATAAACTATATTGTTAATGTAGAGCTGAAGATCTCATATGAGACTGGAAGTTTAACATTAATATTGTGGATGATTCAGCATTACTTTGACAAGTTTTGCTAACTGTTTATGCCCAAAATTAGTTTATTAGGTAACTGAGACATTGTCATCGAGACATTGTAAGGCATGTCACCATTGCTAACATTAATGAGTTTGACTATTGTGTAAGCGGAATAGGTCAATTATGGCATGTTCATGGTGTGCATAATTGATTCACGCGATCATTGATCGGAATAATTATACGTATGACGTGAATGTGTATATGAATGTTGCGAATGGTCGACCAGGATGCTTGGTATCTGTGTAGTTGAGCCACAGGTTTGAGCTATACTATTCAGATTGTAGTGTTAAAGACTATACGAAGTCTGGTATTCCTGCAAAGCGGGGTTCAGTTTTACTGCTTGGGTTATGATATTTAAGCCTGGATGGTGTCTGGTTCTTCTGAAAACCAATGTAAAACGACCCTGGCCCACAAGAGTATATGATATAACTATTATATAACAGTTAGTTCAATCGTAGTAATATATTATTAAAAAAATTGCACATAAAGGAATGATACAGGAAGAGAGAATTGGTTCGTAAAAAGAAAGGTATCAGAGATTGTGTACACCTACGCCAATACTATGGTAAGCTATTAACTATGCTGAAATGAAGAATTATCATTGTCATCGATTCTGAGCCATATTACACACACACTCTCCAACCATTAGTTACGATAGTCACACGAACCCCAACCAAGTAATCTGAATCTACCAATATGGCTAAGAATAAAAGTAAGTGACTTCAAGGACAGATGTCATGTTTTGATATGACTATCCCTAACTTTTTTCTAACCGTCTCCAACACTAATCAGCCATAGTAAACGGTATTCAGGTTTACGTAACACATGGCCCAATTATTGAAAAGCATTGGATAGTTGTTCAGTTCTAATATGGGACTTTTCAGAATTCGGCATCAATATCCTATTCGGGAATTAAACCCAGAACCTTCAAATCTCATGACATACGATTAACCTTTAACCACTGAATTGGCACCTGATCGTTAACATTTCAAACTTACCTTTATCTTTTTGATTGAGATCATGAACCGATTGATGTTAGACTACCATTGAAAACCTGGAAGCGCTGGACGGCCGTTTCGTTTTATTGCGGGACTCTTCAGCAGTGCGTATCCACGATTCTGCTCGCAGGATTCTAACCCAAGGCCTTCGGGTTCGCGCGCGAACGCCTAACATACTGGACCACTGAGCCGGCATCCAATGGTGTTAGTGTCTAACATCGACCAATCCACGAAATTGCCCGACCATCTTCCATTGTACTGAGGTAGATATCTGTCTCTACCCGACACGAATTAGCCCCACTGGTCACGGCTTCTCACTAGAACTCCGAAAATTCCCTCACGACGCTAGTCACTAGTGAGCACATGTTAATTATCATTATTGGGGTTGTGGAGATTATTAAGTTTTTTATTGAGATCATGAATTGACTGATGTTAGACCACCGTTGAAAACCTGGAAACATCGAAACGCCGTTTCGTCCTATTATTGGACTCCTCAGTAGTGAGCATCCACGATCCCATTCTCAGAATTCGAATTTAGGTTCACATGAGAGTGGTCATGGATATGCACTGCTAAGGATTCCTATACTAGAACGAAACAGTTATCTCAGTGCTTCCAAGTTTTGTTTTAATCAACTCATAAATTCAACTATTAAATTATCACGATCTCCACAAAACCCTATTTCTGATAATCATCAATCAAGTAGCTTTAAATTAATCGGCTTAATTAATTATCATCTTAATTGTATTATAATGACTGTAAATATGATTGAAATAAGAAATTTTCGATGCATCTAAATGCATCTTATCATTTGTGAGTACTATAATAGTTGAGACAATGACCTTGAAAAATAAAAAAAACTTTTGTCATTGATATGTACTTTAAAGTATTAAGTATTAATAGTTTTATATTATTATCAGAAGGGGTTTTGTGGAGATTGTAGTAATTTCAATCATTAAGATCATGAGTCAGTTGAAGCTAGACTACCATGGAAAACCTGGAAGCACTGGACGGCCGTTTCGTCCTATTGTGGGACTACTCAGCAGTGCGCATCCACGACCTCGCCCCCTGCGAGATTCGAACCCAGGACCTACTGGTTTCGCGCGCGAGCACTTAACCACTAGACCACTGAGCCGGCATCCAACGGTGTTAATGTCTAACTTCAACTAATCCACGAAATTGAGCGACACATCCACCATTGTCTTCAGTGATTTACTATCCCACAACAGACCTGGTTGAACTCCACTGGTCACTACTTCTCACTAGAACTCCAGGATATACCTCTTGAAGCCAGTCACTAGTGAGCTTCAACTGACTCATGATCTTAATCATTGAAATTACTACAATCTCCACAAAACCCCTTCTGATAATAATCAACATATGCTCACTAGTGACTGGCTTCAAGAGGTATATCCTGGAGTTCTAGTGAGAAGTAGTGACCAGTGGAGTTCAACCAGGTCTGTTGTGGGATAGTAAATCACTGAAGACAATGGTGGATGTGTCGCTCAATTTCGTGGATTAGTTGAAGTTAGACATTAACACCGTTGGATGCCGACCGACTCAGTGGTCTAGTGGTTAAGTGCTCGCGCGTGAAACCCGTAGGTCCTGGGTTCGAATCTCGCAATGGGCGAGGTCGTGGGTGCGCACTGCTGAGGAGTCCCATAACAGGGCAAAACGGCCGTCCAGTGCTTCCAGGTTTTCCATGGTGGTCTAGCTTCAACTGACTCATGATATTAATCATTGAAAGTTTTATATTACTTCAAATGCGGTGAGACTCTAATTTATGAACGACTTTTGAACAAATCTTTAAAGTAAAAACATATTAAACAAAATCAAAGAAATAAATTGGATACACTTCTCACACATGGTTCAAAAACTTGTCATGATTAGAAAGAGGTCTATAGATTCTAAAATCGTAATACATGCAGTAGAGGAAATCATCTATATGGCTACAGAATAGTCAACCTATGAAGCCATAATAAAGTCACAAAAACTCATTCAGCCTCGACCACATAGTTTTAATATTGTTTATGTGCACTCCGATTGTTGAGTACACAAAATAACACTTGTGAATAATGACACGATGCACATAACCAAGTATATGTAGAAGTTTGCACGCTCTCCAAACATCTGTATATATTGTACTATCTGGTTGTAGCCAGTGTTACTGATGCTTTTATTATCCAGTTCACAATAATTGTCATAATTTGCCTTAGTTAGGAATTATATATAAAGTATTCATTACGAACTGACATCAACTATAATGCTAGGAATCTATCTAACCAATTGGATGAAAGGCTTTCATGTTAAAATCCAAGATCTATTATCTTATACCTGATTGATTTGTCCAGAAATTATAGTCTCGCCGTTTTATTTGTTATAACCGTTTAATTATCACGTTTTTTACAAAATTCCTTGTGAACCGATCGTACGTTAGCATGAAGCACTGAAGTTGGTGCTGTAACCTTGAAATCTCTAAAAACCTTTCTGATTGGCTCGTCCATAAATGAGAGTCTCACCTTAAATGCTTCTACTTCTACTGTTTCTATATTATACTGTTTGAATGAAGTTTTGTTCTCTGAACTGGACGGTTTGTTTGTGGAGTTTTCATCATTCTACTGAACAACAACATTAGCATAAACTTCAGGTAGAAGTTTTGCTGTTTGTTGTTCATATTTCTATTCAATTCTCAGATTTATAAATAATGTTTTTGATTGAGATCATGAACTGATTGATGTTAGACTACGATTGAAAACCTGGAAGCACTGGACGGCTGTTTCGTCCAATTGTGGGACTTCTCAGCAGTGCGCATTCACGATCCCGCTCGCGGGATTCGAACCCAAGGCCTTCGGTCTCGCGCTTGAACGCCTAACCTACTAATAGTTACTATACAACTATGACAGTTATGACTGAATGAATTCTAATACAAATTAGGAATCTCGGAAATAACTTAATTGAATCAAGAAATACTAGATAAGGACGAACGAATGTACTGTATTTGGAATTCGAAACCAAGCATTCGACAAGTACAAAGGAATCGTTAGTTCATACAAACATCACATCCGCCACAGCTTAAATTGGAGTCTAAGTTTCTGCAATCGATTTATGTCTTCTCCTTATGTTCATCCTGCGTCTGTTCGACTATGTGTTGGAATACAAATTTTAGCATCAGTTGCGGCGGAATGAACCTTAGTATTACAAACTGACTGAATGTGTTTAATCTTACCATATTTGAAACATTTACGATAACGAAATACACATAAATTAAATAAGTGAAACTTGCTACAGGATCAAACTTGTGCCCAACTTTGTGAACTGCATCACAACTCCTCAAATAAATTATCTGCATGAGATTGAGTACGCACTGGATTTGGATGACGTAGTAATTTAGTGGAATATTCGATGTCCTCATGAATGATTTTGCGAAATCTTCCTTTATCTCATCCGAAATTTGTATACTTAACATAGTCTAGCAGTAGTTCCTTGAAAGTTGCATAAGGAAGCGAAATGGGCTTTTCTGGTAAACCCATAAATTTTAATAAACCGTATTCTTCTTTTCTGATGAATGTGAAGAAATGTGCCACAATATTAACATCTTCCTTGGTTACAGCCCAGATTTGAAGCTTTTCCAAATAATCCTCAAAAGCATCAAAATTTGAATATATGTCCAACTATTTCATCACAGGTGCCATCGCGACGCGAATGTTATGATTATGGTTATTTGAATTATAATACAAACTAGGAATCCCAGAAATAACTCAATTGAATCAAGAAGTATTAGATAAGCACGAAACCAAACATTCAACAAGTATAGAGGAATCGTTAGTTCATACAAACACCAAAATAACTTAGCTTGAAAAATCTTATGATTGAATAGAGATCTTGATGTAATTCCCTCATGATATACATTTGCCAATAGAGACTAATCAATTGAACTCCTTAACATTTCAAATAAGCTTTACCAACTAATTGTACTATATTTTGTTTGTTGGTACTCTTTTAAGTGCTTCCATTGAAATGAACAAGAACATAGATGAGGATAACCGAATGGATTTTTAACTAAAATTACAAAGTTCTTACATTTTGCAATTCTTTCATCAATTATCTCAAATTTCATCGTCCCTTCATTGCTATAACTACAACTCTCTATTGCCGTTCTCTTCGATTTGATCTTTCCGTGACCTTTGAGTAACGCTAGACTGATCTTGAGAGTGTCCACTTAATAGCCAGGACCAAATGAGGGCTATAAACCTGTTTGTGGAATTAGAATTATGATTTATAGGTGATGGTTAAAGTTAAGAATCAGATTTAAGATTTTCATCACGAACTGACATCAACTATAATGCCAAAAACTCTATTTAGCCAAATGGATGAGTAAATTTCGTGCCAAAATCTGACTTGTGACCTTATACCTGATTGGTTCGTCCATAAATTATTAGTGTCGTTGACATTTCACTTCTGATTAGTGTTACATACTACTTATGCCGATATAAGTAGCATACACTAGATAGGTTTGAATTTCTTTACAAAAACATATAAGAAATATCTAATAGATAATTATTAATGTATGTTTTTTTATATTATAAAAAATTTTCAGGACTTAATGCGATACAAGCATGGTATAAACAGTCAGAAAATTATGACTATAATGAAGAGAATCAAGAGAATAAAGGCAAGTTATTGTTCTTAATTGACTTGGTGATGGTTAGTAGGGGAATCTAGTTTAACTCATCAACTGGATATATCTTCATTTCAGAGTTGATGTTCACTTTGGCACTGGAATTCAATACCGTTCGCTTCAGTCTCCATTGTGTTATCCACTTAGCTACTAAGTTCTGATATTGGTGTTGTTTGCTTGTATCTTACCATTGTAGTTTAGGGCTTCAATTGATTAGTCTGTTATTGGAATATATGCATCCTGTGCAGACTGCTTTGATATTGCCTTAAGTCTCGAATAAGACGAAACATGCTTCCTGTATTCCACTGTTAGCCACCCATCTATCTTTGCGTATAAATTTATTGTTCTGTTTTTTTTTACTACTTATAAGTATGCGAAAATATTTCATTTATTTAATTCTATTCACTTGGCATTGTTTTACTAGTATCTTCCCATTGACATTTAAGACTGAATTTGATCAGTCTGTTATTGGCATATGTGCATACTGTGCGTATGTATCGATATTGCCTTAATTCACAAGCTTTTATAAGCAAAGAAAAACAATGCCAAGTAAATTTAAATTCACCCGATTGCACAAGCAAGTGACTATCAGGACTCAGTAGCTGAGTGGATAACGCGATGGCGTTTGAAGCGAATGGTACTGTATTCGATTCCCAGAGTGAACACCAACTCTGAAATGTAGGTACGTCCAGCTGACGAGTCCCAAAATAGGACGAAACGCGCGTCCTGGATTCCACTGCTAGCCACTATCCATCTTTGCTTATAATGCTAGTAAATACTTCATTTACAAAATGCCAATCAATCGTCTCAGACTTGATTGTTCCTTTGTTTCCACACCAATCATTCTTTGTTCTCATTCTCTTTTTTCTGATCTTCTTAACCTTCTACCAGCAAACATTTCACTCTCGATTGATGATACATACTACTTATATCTGTCGAGATCAGTAGCACACACTATAATGGTATTGCAGTTTCGCATCATTAACTTGTTTTAAATCCACTTCAAAACGTCTTTTCTACACAGTTGGTGATTGATTACCCAAAAGTTATAAATGTATTAAATACGTAGATAGTTGTAAATAGAATGTTCAATAAGTATGCAGATTCAATCTGATAATACTTTAAATTACTTCTAATTTCGTATATGGTAAAGCGGGACAAGAATATTGTGTTTTCATCAGAAGTAGATCTAACATACAAATCCGGATTTGATCAAAAATTATTGCATCAAGTCAGTAGCTGCTGTATATAGAATTGCCTACTATGACGTTGAATGTTCTGTTGAAATGATGCATTTCGTTAACATAGGAACCAGAACGAATGAATCATCTTTGGTCACAATTTTGTTTACTATTTATTTATTTGAACACATAAATGTTGGTACAAAGGGGCACCGAATACATATACACCACACAAGTCACTTGATTTGTGTGTGGGCTATCATACTGCCCTGGTGCTCATATCGAAGCATCTGGTTTTCTTATGAGACAACACCCCAAGCCTTCGACCTACAAACCTAATCCACAATACAGTGGAACGATGTAAGGTGATGCATCTCATGGTAGCTGGTGACCAATAATTAATTCATACGCCATTTGTTCCCTCAGGATCTGGAGTCAGCCCATGTGCACCATTGGTTTGGAGTCACAGTTTTCCAACTCCCCTAGGTGGATCCTCCATATCCACCAACCCGGTTGAAGAGCCCGACATTCGCTTTTCGTCCCCGCCATGAGAAGGCAGTGAGTAGGACTTCCCTGACAGTGGTTGTATGCATGTGATCATGTGAGACCATAATGAGTGGGAGAGATGACTCTCCCCACTCTCGGCGGTACAAGGGCACTTTGGGGACCACTTTCTACAGAAAGGTCGTCTGAAAAATAAGTGGAAAACTAGATTCTTATGACTTCGATAACAAGACAATAAATGGATTGAATAATGTCAATCACGTATTGGAATAATTTTAATAATCGTAATATGAAATTATATAATTAACTTCTATTATTGATAGGTATTCACTTTTTAGTTCTCTAATTGTCATTTACCTTTCTAACCTGTCAGTCAGTCAGTTGCAACGTAGGACCAGGGACATATGTGCATCGGTCCAAGTTGCCACACCTCATAAGCACAACAAGATGGACACCAAATTCATAGAAGCAGTTAACTCAATGGTTTAATATATAAAAGAAAGATTCTGTATAAGAATATAGTACAGGAAGAAAGAATTAGTTCGTAAAAAGAAAGATATGAAGCATTTTTAATCTCAAAGTTTAAGGGGAGACAGTGAGTGTATACACCGACGCCATTGTGATCGATTTCGAGCCATGTGACCCACAGTCTCCAACCATCGGTTATAACAGGCACGTGGACCCCAACCGAGTAGTCTGCATCTATCAACATGGTTCACTCAGACTAGAAGTTTGGTCACCCCTAACTTTCTTTCAACCATCTCCAACACTAGTCAGCAGTGTGCGTCGTGGTAATCCGTGTTTAGGCATATGTAACATGTGGCCCAACCATCTCAGTCGATGAAGATTTTCAACTTAGAGTTAGAACAGAACGAAATGCCGCGCAGTATACTCGTCTTCTTATTGACAAACGGATATCTTGACTTCGCCATAGGTGATGTAAGTTGGCAAAAAGCCAAACGAGCTTCCTGAATCTGTGCTGAGATTTTGTCAAACACGAACCCATTAGAGCTGATCATACTTCCAAGATAAGTGAACTTGTCAAGGCGTTCGACTACTTCTTCTTTTTATTTTATTTTAACACGTAAATATCGGTATAAGAAGGCACCAAATACATATGTGCCACACAAATCTCAATTGATTTGTGTGAGGGCTGTGATACTTACTGCCCCCGTGCCCAAACCGAAGCAGATGGTTTTCTTAGGGGTCCAAACCCCGAGCCTTCGACCCACAAGATAGTGGAGCATTGTAAGGAGATGCAGTTCCATAGTAACCGGTGACGAACGATTGGTTCATAGGTCATTTGTTCCTTCAGGATAATGGAGCTATCCCATGTGCACCATTGGTTTGAGATCCGGTTAAAGCACCAAACATTCGACTACTTCACTTCTTATCCTTCAGTTCAAGTATTGATGCAGACCAGTCCTGATGCATCAACTTGTATTTACAGTAGGAGAATCAAATCCTCTAACTGTACTCAAAATCATTGTATTCATTTCGAATATATAATCAATAAAATTGAGAAAAGAAAACATGATTCTAATCAATATTTTATTTTAGGTTATTTTACTCAAATGATTTGGAAAAAAACAAAAAAAGTTGGATATGGTTTTACTAAATCTAATATAGGTAATACAATTTTTATTGTTGGACATTATTCACCAGCTGGTAATAAACTAACAGAATATCAAAATAATGTTTTACCAAAAAGAGAAAGTAAGTTCATAAAAAGAAATGAATGAATATGATTCTAGCTTATAATGAGTTGACATAGTGATTATTAGATTAACTATTAATAATGATTATCAGAAGGGGTATTGTGGAGATTATAGTAATATCAATGATTAAGATCATGAGTCAGTTGAAGCTAGACCACCATGGAAAACCTGGAAGCACTGGACGGCCGTTTCGTCCTATTATGGGACTCCTCAGCAGTGCGCATCCACGACCTCGCCCCCTGCGAGATTCGAACCCAGAACCTACTGGCTTCGCGTGCGAGCACTTAACCACTAGACTACTGAGCCGGCATCCAGTAGGTCCTGGGTTCGAATCTCGCAGGGGGCGAGGTCCTGGATGCGCACTGCTGAGGAGTCCCATAATAGGACGAAACGGCCGTCCAGTGCTTCCAGGTTTTCCATGGTGGTCTAACTTCAACTGACTCATGATCTTAATCATTGATATTGATAATGTTATTCTATTGTTTAAAGTTTATAGAGTTTGATAAATTTTTAGATAATTTTTAGTTTACTAATTGAATTTATGAATCATTTGAAGCTAGACAATACTATGAAAAATTTGGAAGTATTGGATAGCTGTTTCATTTTAATATGGGACTTCACAAAAGTGCACATTTATGATATATGCTTTGTGGGATTCGAATTCAGGATCTGTCAGTCTCGCACATGAATGTTTTTATGCTTTAGACCATTGAGCTGTTGTTTAACAGTGTTAATGTCTAACTTCAACTAATTCACGAGTCATTGAGCATTATCGAATGTTTACTTAATAAATGGTGGTTGGAGGTAGTCGACAGGAAACCCTGGACCCGGGTTTCGTGTTACTTGACACTCGTCACTAAGGTGTACCTGTAATCTTTAGGGAACTGGTGCTCCCTGATGGATTCGATCCCACCATCTAATCTCACAATAATGCCCGTAGTGTCGAGTCACCTAGACTGGTGGCCACATTGCAACATGGTCGATAGAATTCGATCTGCACTAATAATAAGGACTAGACACACATGACATTGATCACCATCCAGTGATCAATCAATTGTGATTACATCTCATTCCTACAGGAGGTCGGTCAAGGCCCGGATAGCTCAGTGGTAACGTCTCTGACTGTGAAGCTGGGTGACACGGGATCGAATCCGCCAGGGAGCACCAGTTCCCTTAAAATTAAAGGTACATCTTGATGACGAGTGACAAGTAGCACGAAACCCGTGTCCAGGGTTTCCTGTTAACTACCTCCAACCACCATCTAATCTCACAATAATGCCCGTAGTATCGAGTCACCTAGACTGGTGGCCACATTGCAACATAGTCGATAGCATTCGAACTGCACTAATAATAAGGACTAGACATGTGTGACATTGGTCACCACCCAGTGATCAATCAATTGTGAATGTTTACTTATAATGGTAAAGACGATAATTCAAGAGTAATTCGTATGACTTGTTTTTCCATGAATGTAGAGACAACAACACGAAATTACATTAAATATATTACAAAACTTGGTCTTAAGACGATGAACTATGTTGCATCAATATTCATATATTCATGGTTAAGTTTCGAATTACAAATACTTATGGTATTTGTACGAACTAATAAGTCCTTTGTAACCGATGTCTCGCTGATTACGAATCCCGAATACAATACGTTCATTTGTGCTCATCTGGTTATACCAGCCTTAACTTGCATTAATTCGGGAATTCCAAGTTAGTACAATAATTCAAACACTTCTAATTATCATATTGACGTCGCGATGGAGCCATCAACTGGAAAACTGGATCCATATTCAAATTCTGAAGCTTTCAAAGACTACACAGAAAGGTTTAAAAATCTGGAGTATGACCAGGTGATATGTTAAGAATTATAAAACTCTGGCTCATTTCCTCATATTTACTAGAAAGGAGGCTTATAGTTTATCGGAAACTTTTGAATTCTCAGACAAGCTTATTCCACTTTCTTATGTAACTCTCAAATAACTACTACTAAATCACTTAAAGTGTACTAATTTCGAGTGCCATGAAGGTGAATATTTTTATAATGTGATTCACCGAAACATCCAGAATTCTACTACATTACTTAGCTATCTTAATTCAATGCGTGCTCAAGATTATGCAGTTAATAATTCATTGAAGAGTTAAAATGTAGATTACAGAGGTGAGCATACACTTGGTAAATGCTCATCCTGTATTTTGACATGCCGTATACTTTAAGTGCAGTAAAATGAGCACACCAAGTTGGTTTGTGGATCAACTGGTAGTTTTGCCACTAATGATGATAAAACATGTGGTTTCTATTTTACTAAGCTGGGTATTTCTACTGGTCATTTATCTTCATCAACGATTCCGTAAGGAAATGTATATATTCAGAAGCAATTATATGTCTCCTTTAGTTCATTCAGTGACATTACTGTTGACACAGTCAATATAGAGTCATATCTCAGTCCAGAATTAAATGAAGCCTTGTTAGTCTTGCATAATTCTCGAACTAAATTTCAATTTTAAAAAAACACCTTATGTCTCATGTAATGTTTGCCAAGAAAGATAAAGGAACTCCTATTCAGAAAATTAGTTGGAATAACACAATGAATACAAGTGCACTCAAATAAAGATCTAACATTATTTTATGAAGGAGGATAGTGTTCGAAAATATCTGGTTTAAATTCTAGATATCAATGATTTAAGTACACACAACTGACATACAATCATATACAATTTCAGGACCCAGATTGATCTATTCTAGTTACATCTGTTTATTCTAATATTACTGAGTATATTCTAGATCACACAGTGTCTACATCTAATACACAGTCGATCAGATACATGATGAACCTGGGGAAATAAAGTACATAACATTCTCAAACCCTAATCTTTCTGATTACTGCTTATACTCTTGCTAACTGTACCACTATGGGATTTGAATCGACAACCACATCTCTATGCTAATGTGGTATGTCAGCTCGAACTGATATATGTATGTACAAAGTTCTATGTTGTTACTGACTGACTGATAATCGATTTCAGAAATTTGGATTTCCATTTAATTTATGGCAGTTGTGGTCTTTGTACAAACTAATAATTCCTTTGTAACGGATGACTCACTAATTACGAATTCTAAATATAAGTCGTTCATTTGTGCTTATCTAGTTCTACCTACCTTTTATTATAATATTTTGGGAATTATTAACATGTTAATTCAAGTACATTGAATCGTTACACTATGATCGTTTATTCGGTTTTTAAAGCTTCTTTAAGCAGAACAATGTGAAATACATCTATATGTTGAAGTGATTTCAACGACAAATTGATGATATTCATATAATTCTTCAAACTTATTTATTTACTAGATTCTTTCATACTACTTGTAATCTATAAAACATAATAAGTTGTCAACATTAAGAATAATCCAGTCCTATCCTGTTTTGTCATGTATAATAATAAATTCCCCCAAACGCCCTCGTACGGCCAAAAGTGGGGAGAGTCCTCTGTCCCTCTCCAAATACTCTCACATGGTCACGTGTATATAGCCTCTGCCAGGGAAGTCCTACTCACTGCCTTCTCGTGGCACAGGTGTTATTTACGGAAATGAGAGGACGAAAAGCGAATGTTCGGCGCATGGGCTGGCTCCAGTATCCTGAATAAACAAATGGCGTATGGACCAATCGTTGGTCACCGGCTACCATGGGACTGCATCTCCTTACGATGCTCCACTGCCTTGTGGATCAGATCTTCAGGTTGAAGGCTCGGGGTGTGTCCTTCTAAGAAAACCACGTGTTTCGGTTTGGGCACCCGTGCAGTAAGTATCACAGTCCTAACACATATCAAATAAGATCTGTGTGGTGCATATGTATTTGGTGCCACCTTATACCAATATCTATGTATTAATAATAATAAGTATGTTTTTGACTTGATACTAACTAATCACATATATTTTTGAGATTTTACTTTTATAATTTTTACTTATAACATGAATTGAATGTTTCATTTCAGGAATTGATGAAATAAAAATCAATGATGATTATTCAGATGGTTCTAATAAAAATCTCAAACAACATCGATATTCTTGTTCCAATAGAAAATGTGTTATCATTTAATACATATACATATTCACGTCTATAAGACTAAATGAATATTCAAAACAAAAAAAAAATTTCTCTTTTACAGATGCATCATTCATATTCTTGTTCACTATTCTTCTATGTGTAGTTGATAAATCTTGTTTCAAGTTTATATTTATTGAATTTATTTATTTTAACACATAGATATTGGTACAAGGGGGCACCAAATACATATGCACCACACAGATCTCAATTGATTTGTGTGAGGGCTGTGATACTGCTCGGGTGCCCAAACCGAAACAGGTGGTTTTCTTAGGGGGCCACACCCCGAGCCTTCGACCTGAAGATCTGATCCACAAGGCAGTAGAGCATCGTAAGGAAATGTAGTCCCATGGTAGCCGGTGACCAACGATTGGTTCATAGGCCATTTATTCTAGCAGGATACTGGAGCCAGGCCATGTGCACCATTGATTTGGGGTCCGGTTAAAGCGCCAGACATTCGCTTTTCGTCCTCTCATTTTCGTAAACAACACCCCCGCCACGAGAAGGCAGTGAGTAGTGTCTGGAAATGGTTTTATTAGTTTGAGTTTATCTTCTTGTAGATCTTTTATTCAATTTTTGTTATGTGAATATTATTATTATTATTTTATTTTAACACATAAGTATAGGTACAGGGAGGCACCAAATACATATGCGCCACACAAATCTCAATTGATTTGTGTGAGGGCTGTGATACTGCCCGGGTGCCCAAACCGAAGCAGGTGGTTTTCTTAGGGGGCCACACCTCGAGCCTTTGACCTGAAGATCTGATCCACAAGGCAGTGGAGCATCGTAAGGAGATGCAGTCCCATGGTAGCCGGTGACCAACGATTGGTTCATACGCCATTTGTTCCCGCAGGATACTGGAGCCCATGTGCACCATTGGTTTGGGGTCCGGTTAAAGCGCCAGACATTCGCTTTTCGTCCTCTCATTTTTGTTAACAACACCCCCGCCACGAGAAGGCAGTGAGTAGGACTTCCCTTGCAGAGGCTATATACGCGTGGCCATGTGAGAGCATTTCGAGAGGGAGAGCGGACTCTCCCCACTCTCGGCCGTACCAGGGCATTTGGGGGCTATGTGAATATAATAGTGAGGGAATGATTGAAAAGGATTATACCACCATGTTTTATCTAGAATAATAAATTGTTGTTGTAAATTCTATTGTGGCCTATGATCACTTTGATTGCACAAAGTATGCTATTTTACTAAAACTTGTTTTGTATAAAGAAGATAAGTACAGCTTGTTGATGTACAAATACTTTGTGAGATTGAGCGTCATATTAGAATCAACTAAAATCTTAGAGACAGATTAGTTAAGTATAACATACCATGTAATAAAAAAGCAAGAAAGACAGAAAAAGTTACCTGAACTATTAAAGGAACTGTAGCGGTAAATAATTCCCCAAAATCAAATAGCTCTGTAAGTTTTCGACATTGGATGCTGACCACAGTTTTAGTGGACTCATCTAGCTGAAGGCGCTCGGTCAAGCATCCGCACCAGATCACGTGTGGGAACGCCGTGCTCAACATCTGCCGCAATCGCTAGCCAGATTAGTGCAAACGATCCTCGATATATTAATAGCTTATCAAATATATCTTCGATCTCCTCACTTCTGTCTTTTGATTTTACTTGGTGGGTTCGCTTCGTATTAGGTGTTACTGGTTAAAGCGTTGTCAAACTCCGAATACCTGTGGCATCTTCAGAACTTTAAGCATATTGATCTGGACAAATATTTGTAGTCGCATTACCATGGAGAGCGGACTATTTGAAATCTGAGTTCTAATAATTTTTAAAACGTTTAAATGATTATTTTTATTTGTAGAGAGGTCATTGATTGATGTGAAATCTCCTCTCAGAACGTTGTCAAAGGAGCCAAAGATGAAGTTTGACGTTCCATTTGTAAAAGGAGGAATGTTTAAGTAAACTGAAATGCGGTATTATCACATAAGACTGAGCTTTATTTGATACATACTAACCAAGCTGAAGAAATTTAAATTCTGATATCTACAGTATTAAAATAACAATGAGGAGTTAGCATCAGTACCATGTTTAGTTTTCCTTAAACCCGAAAATTTGAATGAAGTGGGATTTCAAAGATTTACATTTGCTGAATTTATGACAGTAATTTCCATTGTAGGCTATCAATGCTTTTAAGTTAATAGATCTATTATAGTGTAAATGAGTGGTCATGATGGCACTGTTTAAAATATTTTATCTACATCACGGTCACATCATTTTTGCCCCGAGCTACCAAGCGTGATAGTCAGGGCCCCCATTAACGTTTGTATATAACGATAATTTCGTTCTATATACCTCCAATCCTAACTTAGATGACAAAATATAATACCATCTAGTGAAATTACGGATTTCTGTCTGACTTGACTATTGGTTCTTTCGTAATTACAAGAGTACGAGTTCAATAGTCATGAGAATTAATGGTTTTTATGAAAAAGCTACTTCTAATTTACGCATTTTTCAATAATTGTTAAATAATGGTAATAAGGAGCATTCTAATTACTGTGCTACCTAAAAATTTAGGAGAATTAAAACTATCTGAGCACAAATAAACGACTTATATTTGTAATTTGTAATTAGCGAGCCATCACTTACAAAGGAATCATTAGTTCATACAAATAACACATGCACCACAGAGTAAGGGAGAATCCAAATTTCTGAAATCGATTGTAATTCTTTTCCTCAGGTTCATCATATATCTGACCGACTGTGTGTTAGATGTAGATACTGTGTGATCTAGAATGTAGTTAGTAGTATTAGAATTAACAACCGAAACTGGAACCGACTCACCTGGGTCGTTGTGACGTTTTCGGTTATTGTGAATGGCTTGCGAATGAACCATAGATTTGTCAGCCATCTTCAGCTGACATCTCTTAGACTTTATGAAATCACTTTTTGAACGAAGATTCTTTTGTTCAAGCAACTCCATTATTGTTTCTTTGGCAAATGGTCTGTTAATTCTGCATTGAAAGACTATCTATACTCCTCGAGAAGTGTGGGTCATTCAATGTCGCAGCAGTAATAGAATCGATGTTCGTTTCCAAAGTCTTGGAATTTCTTGCTTAGGTAAAAAAAGAACGAGAGTGTCTTAGCTTCATGCGTAATACTTCACACTCCGATTCCGTAGTTAACAATTTATCAAGTATTTAATTAAGATGGTCTTCAGTAGTCAACAATGGAAGCTATCCCTGAAGCATTCCCGAAGTATGTGGACTAACGTCTGATGGCTCACAATCAGTAATAAGAAATTCACAACATAAGAATGAAGATTTATCGTTTCTAAATAGCAAATTACAGCACATAAGATTAGAAAGTTTATGACTAGTAATACTCGAAATAGAAACTTTGGTAGACCTTGTAATAGCATCAAAGTTTTTCAACTGAAAAGGTGAAATTGATACTACTGGAGTCAATAATAAAAAATAAAGATACCAATTGACAAATAACCCAAGCTCCCAATTTTGGGGAAGCCGCTATAGTAAACTTTGGGGAGATGGCACAAAAACCCCAAAATTTCCCCAGGTCTAGGGAAATTCCCCAAAATTTGGGATTTTTCCCCTAAATTTCCCCAAAACTTGGGCTTTTTCACCTACATTTCCCCAAACGTTTTAGGGTTTCCACAAATTTTAGCTTTTTTCCCCCCACTTAGGGGTACCTCTACAGAACCGTTTTAACGCAAAAGTTATACCGAAATCTGCGGATATCACGGAAAACCTAGCGATAATACATAGGTACATTTCTTACTGGGATATAACATTATGTTTCGTCAACTACGTGTTGCCAAAGAAACTGAACGTCAATCGATTTATCGGTTTCATTAAAAGACCAATTTTTGAAATATTTAAATGTTTATTATAGTTAATAAAATTACACATTATTCATGTATACGTTTTTCATTTGTTCGTTCCTGCAACACGTTACGCAGAAGTTGAACTATCATTTGGTAGGTTCTGAAATAAAATAAAAGACTTTAGTTTACAACATTGGTAAAAACGCCAATGCTTATCTAGACCTATATCCTAAAAATATCTGTTAGGAGATGGATTATCACCCTTAAAGAAATTATAATACGAAAGCGGAGAAAATGCACAAAGTTATCATTGTCATCGAAAAGTCGTCCAATTTACATTATGTTCCAGAGTCGGAGGGTAGCTTCATGAAGCTATCTATCATAATCATTGTGTATTTATTTCACTTTGCTGCCTTCTGCATCGATCTGATTTTATCTATCCCCCGGATTGCGTTAGGTGTTTGATAGCCTTCATACTGATTAACGGTGCTTGTTATCTTCTAGCCGAATCTAGTACGACATGACAGCTATTTAAAAAATTTCGAATTCTCCACTGCTTCTGTTGCCACTGATATCTTTCTTCGATTGCTTGTACCATCTCACTCTTTCCCCCGTTTGCAAGATCCGCATGGATTTTATCAATATCGCATGGGCATACTAATAATGTTTAATTTAAAACTGGTTGAACAGATAAGCCACCTTTTACTGATACTATTTGGACCCAAAATGCTCACAAACACTTTGTGTCCCTGAATTTACTTACGATTTCAATTTCGAGGGGCTCGCGTTCATTGTTGAATATAGCTCGGAACAATAAAAATATTTTCGCCGTCTACGCACAATATATGTAGCCAATATGTACTCTCGGGATCTATTAACAAGATATATGGGTAGAACAGAAAGGAGAGCCTACGTCCGATTCAAAGAATATATTCCGAAGGGTTTGGGATCAAACGAACCAAAAACATTCAGCAGCGCTATCGCAAGACATCTCCTTGACACAGGACAGGAAATCGATATACTGAAGTCCTTCAAGGTGATCAACAAACAATCGAATTCCAACCTTTTAAAATTTGCCGAAGCGATAGCAATCAAACGTGTAGAACCAAATCTTTGTATACAAAAAGAAACAGTAATAAATCTTTCTTTCCCCTGGTAACATTAACCCCTCTTTTATTTATTACGTCATT